TCCAGTCCATTGTACATGATGTTCACCCAGCCATCCTTGGAGGCCAGGACAAAGAGGGACATCAGGGCCTGGAAGACACAGGGAAGGGAGGGTATGGGGGTGACGGGCCAGGGCAGCTCAGGCCGCATCTGCCCCCCTCGGCTCTCCATTTTTCTGCCTCTGGGGGTCAGAGGGAAAAGGGGCCTTTCCCACATTGAGGGAAGAGCTGTGCCTTCAACGGATAAACCTTTTCTGAGGACCTACTATGTGCCTGCCATATACCCCGCAGGCACTGCTGCAGGAGAACGAGCACTGGACCAGGAGTCCTGGGCTCCAGTCTCAGCTCTGAAGTTAACTTGGCGAGAAAATTCATGAGCTCTTGCCTCTTTACCTGGAGAATGGAGCTAATGCTTAAGTGGCCGCCTGCCAGGTTTGCTGGGCACATCAGCTGAGACTTCAAACTAGAAGGTTCCTGATAAACATGAGGGACCCTGCCACCATCCCTCCAAGCTTGCCTCTAACACCTGAAAACGAGCTCACAAGAGGAGTCAGGACCCTGGATCACAACCCAAGCTCTGCCACTCACTGGCTGTGTGACTTGGTGCAAGTTCCTCAATGTCTCTGGGCCCCAACTTCATTGTCTGTAAATGGCAATAGTTACCATCACTAACATGAAATTTTGAGATGGAGGTGATCCCCAGAAGACAGCCAGCCAAGACTCCTACATACACAGCAGCCAAAACTTCCTCATGTCCCCTCAACGAGGCTACGGGCTGGTCCAAGAGGACCCGGCTCAGAGCCTCACATACAGTAGGTGCTCAATAAAGGGTTTCTGAGCTAGACTGAACCAGTGCCATCCTTGCAGAGCCCAAGCATGATGGAAGTTAGTCGATTCACAAAGGGTCCTGGACCAGCAGAGGCTGCCTGGTGGTCACACACCCTACTCTGGACACCTCCCGTGTTTCCACCAGGCCACACCTGTCAGTTGTTGCAGCCCAGGGCCTGGGCCAGGAAATGGGGTTCTGGGATGGGTCTCCTGCCCTGCACTGGCTCCTCCTGCTCATCCATGCAGGGCACAGACTGGGCATGGTGCTGAGGGCTGCTCGAAAGGGCTCAGGCCCAGGAGCAGGTCAGGGCGGGGGACACAGAGGGAGTCCTCCATCCAGGGAAGCACACGAAGCTCTCACATGCCAGGGGTCAAATGTCCCCGTGAGCCCTTGGATTACAGAGGCCTGAAATGCAGAGTGCCTGCAACTGGGAATCACGGACCTTCTATCACTGTCCCCATTTATAGATGAGGACACTGAAGCACGGAGAGGAACTGGAACTTGCCTGAGGATACACAGCTGGTAAGAGGCCCAGCAAGGAATCAAAGGCTCTGGGCCATGCTATAACCCCCTTTGGCTTTTCATGCTGAGAACCCCCTACTTAGGGGCCCAGGGTGTCGGCCTGGCACCGAGCATGCTCAGAATAAAAAGGGTGCTCCCCAGAGGCCAGAGCCAGAGCCCGGGCCCGGTGCTGGGGTCTGGGGTCAGGGGTCAGGAGCAGGCTTATGACAGGTCCCCACTGGCTTTCCTTCAGCTTCCTGGGACATCTTTTTAAAACATCTGTTTTGCCAGTGATTGAGTTGTTAATGACTTAAAATGGCACTGCTTCCAGAGAATCACGAGGAGATAGGGGAGCTACTATGTCCCAGGTCCTGACCCCTCCCCCAGCCACTCACTGCCGCTTATGGCCCCATGGCTTGTCTCCCAGGTGGTATGGAGAACAGGATCCCTGGTCATGTGGGTGAGAGCTCCAGCTGCAGGGGCCAGCAGAGGGACGGGGTGCAGGCACACCCCTCTGGTCATACTTAGCCACCTGGCTGGAACCTCAAGAAATAGGAGCGTTTGGTGGGGGGAGGCTCTTTGCAGGCAGCCAGCTGGGGGCTCCCATCAGGGGCATCACCCAGATGGCCAAGCCTGGCAGACCCCCAGAAGAAGAGACCAAGGGCGAGGCAGGATCTGGGCATGGGGCTGCCTGTGACTGGAGAGGAGAGCAGAGTAGCTGGGTGACGGGAGAGGACACCCACCCTGAGCAAGGGGCTGGATACACTTGAATCTCTACCACAGCCTGCCTGGCGGGCTGCAACATTCCCATTTTACAGATGAGAAAAGTAAGGCTCAGAGAGGCCACACTTACAGTAAGTGGTAGAGCTGGGATTCACACCCATGTCTGGCTGACTCTAAAACTCCTGTCAGGGTCCCTTGGGTGTGTAAGGCGCGGGGGCAAGAACCAATACCCACCGAAGCACCAGGTGCTTGCTGGACACTCTGTACCTGGGATCGCTAAGCCTCATGCCACCTGTGAAGTGAGTGCTGACCCTACCCAACGCTTGGAAAAGAGAAGTCACGGTCAGTCCTGGGGAGGCAGGACTGGAGGCAGGTCTATAATCCCAGGCTGTGGGCACTGAAGAGCTGTCACCCCACCCGCTGGAGGTGGTCAGGTCAGGGGAAGGTGGGTGGTGCTCACCTGGCCCAGGTTGTCAAAGTTGTACTTGTGATGGACCCAACGGTAGTTGGCGGCCACGCAGTCGGAGCGGTTGGTGATGTTTCTGGTATCCATGCCCAGACAGTGGTAGAACTTGCCCTTGAAGAGCTGAGAGTAAGGGACACAGGGTGAGGGGCCATCCTGCCAACACTCTCAGGGGGTAGGGGTAGGGGACAAATCAGAAGAGGGACGGTCTCTCAGGGGCACTTCCTCGGTGCACAGCCTAGACTAAGCACTCAGACATATCACCTTCCCAACATGAGGTAGAGCTACTCTCATCTCATCTCACAGATGAGGAAACTGAGGCCCAGGGGTGAAAGGTTATTTTCTCAAAGTCTCTCGAGGTTTAGGAACTGGCAGAGCCAAGGTTCACACCCTGGTTTGTCTGATTCCTGAGCTTTCCACAGGCCCAAGATCAGGCCCCAGTGCCTGCAGTGGGGATCTGGGCAGGGACCCCATGGGAGAAAGCTGCCTGTATATACTCAGGGGAGAGAGGGAGAAGTAAAGGGACCCTCTCCAGGGACCCAAGCCTTCTCTGTGTTAAGTGCCTGGAAGGGGCAGGGCACTGTCCACATGGTGTCCACCTCAAGCCCCTCCTGCCCAGGTGTCTCCACTGGGGAGGTCTCAGCAACCTCAAAGGGATACCTATGCCCAGGGCTCCTTCCCAGCTATAGCCCGAACACAGGACCAGGTGAGGAGCCTGGAGGACTCAGACACTCAAGAAACAGGAAGCGGGCCGACCGAGTGGCTCAGTCGGTTAAGAGCTCGCTCAAGAGTGCGAGCTCTGAGCAACAGCAGTTTGAGTCCTGGCCCGAGCTGAGCAGCTGCTGAGCTGCCAACAGGTGGCAGGATGGCTCAGCTAAAAAAAAAAAAAAAAAAAAAAAAAAAAAAAAAAAAAAAAAAAAAAAAAAGAAAGAAAGAAAGAAAAAAGAAGGGTCTCAGCAGCAGCTCAGACCCCAGAGGGCCCAGGTCACAGGTCACTCTGGCCATCCCCATCACACAATTTATGACCTGCCCAGTCTGCCCTGTCCAGCCCTGAGGCCCATCCTATTCCCAGGCTGAGTTAGCTCAAGGCCCTGAGTGTCAGAGACCCCATGGTCCCCAGCCCAGCAGCCAAGTGCCAGTTCCTTAGCTGCCATTCCAGGTCTTTTCCCACTTGGCCCCACCCACCACCTGGCTCATCCCTCCATGCCAGCCAGAGTTCCTGGGCTCACCTCCACCCATGTGCCCTTGCCCCCCTGACACATCTTCTCCCACTGTGACCTGTCAAAATCACCTCTCCTTCAAGGCCCAGTGCAAAGGCCATCTCCTTCAGGGTACTTCCCCCATTGTCCCTAGCCCAGCCCCATGTTCCTATGTAGCTTGGACCCCTGTGAACCCATTTATCCAGCCTGTTTTGCACTCAGCCATTTGGGCCACGTCTGTCTGCCTCCCTGGACTGGGCCCTCACTGCTGGCAGGGACACGGCTGCTCCACCAGAGCCCCCTGAGGCCCCAGGTGGGCTGGCACAAGGTCAGGAGAGCTGGGCAGGAATGAGGAGCCTCTTCTCTGGCCACGGAGCCCCCCCCCACTGCCTGCCCAGCCTGGACGTCCCTCACCTGCACCCCCAGGATGCCGAAGATGATGAAGAAGGCACAGCAGATGAGGACAATGTTGCCGATGGGCTTGAGGGAGGAGATGAGTGTCTCCACCACCAGCTTCAGGCCAGGCGCCCGGCTGATGACACTGCAGGCAGGCAGGGACCAAGGGCACCGTTAGCCCTCGGCCAGGCCAGGAGACAGTCCCCAGTAGGCCCAGAGTCACCAGGGAGGTGGCCCCCAGGCTCCAGGTGGATAGGTACAGCAGGACACTGTGCCTTGGCCCCACCCCTTTGGGGTCCACACTACACCTTCATCTAGAAGTGAGGCCCAGGGACAGCAGCGAGCTACCCAGGGACACACAGAGAGAAGGGAGCCATCCTGGAGGGCCGCCTTCAGCTCTGGCCTTGTAGAGTGCACACACACACACACACACACACACACACGCACACACACACACCAGGCCCCTTCCCCAGGAGCAGGGCTCACAGCTAGTGGAGGACTGCATGGATAGGGAGGGCAGGAATAAGGGGTCCAGTTAGACCCTGGAGGCTTCTCCCTCTGCAGAGGAGGGGTTCTCACCGCAGGGGTCGTAGGGTGCGCAAGAGCCTCAGGACACGGAGGACCCCCAGGATCTTGGCTCCCCCAGCTGAAGCCAAGGACACCACGATGTCAATGATTGACACGAAGACTAGGAAGCCGTCCAGCACGTTCCAGCTGCTTCGCAGGTAGGCTTGCTCTCCGAAGTACAGGCCCAGCGAGACGACCTGGGGGCGGGGCGATGGGCGGGGTCAGATGGGCTCCTCCTGAGGGGGCGGGGTGGGCGAGGCCTTGTGGGCGGGGTCAGGCAGGTGGCTGGAGCCCAACCGCAGGCAGGGTACAGGCGCCAGCTGCCTCTCTGAAGGCAGGAGATAGGCGATAGGCGGGGACCCTGCAGCTCTGGGAGCAGAGAGCCGCTCCCTGAAAGACAGGCCCACGGCCTGTCCCAGTCCGTTCTCCCCGCACATCTGGTAAAGCCAATTCAAAGCCAAATGCTCTGGCGTTTCCACACCTCCAGCAGGTACCTCCATTACTCTATCAATGTTTCCCTGCATCCGCCTTTCTGGTGGGTTGTGAGCTCCTGGAGAACAGGACCTGGCTGACCCCGCCTCTGGCCCCAGGCTAATGCGCAAGTGAGTGACAAGCTGAGGGAGGGCTGAGCCAGGGCCAGGGGCCTCTAAGCTGGGGGCGGGAGAGGTCCCAGGTGAAGCAGAGCTACCTACCTTCAGTGTCATCTCGCCCACAAAGATGGCTGTGAAAATGTAGTTGGACACAGTGAGGAAGATGCGTTCCTGAAAGAGCAGGGAGATACCATGGGCCGGGAGCTCCCAGAACTGCCCAGCCACCTGGTCACCTCTGCTTTTGGCCAAGGGGCATCCACAGGAGGCTGCCACTTCACAGTCCAAGGAGATGTCGCCCTCCTTGCCTCCAAGCTCCCTGCCACACCTTCCTCCACGGTGTCTGCCTTGCTGAGCTCTCCTAGCCCCCTCAGCACACTGTCCCATAGCAGGCCATGGTAGCCTGCCCCACTGCCTGCCCCTAGCCGTGCCCAAAGTCCCCAACCACTCACGGTGCTGCCAGCCTCGATCTGGGGCCGCTCCAGGGCGATGGTGATGCAGTTGAGAAAAATGAATGCCAGGACGACATAGTCAAAGAGCTTGTGGGCGATGATGGTCTGACACAGGACCCGGAACCTGGGCAGAGTGGACAGGGGCCACGTGAGTGTTGGTGTGCCCTCACACCAGCCAGGAGGAAGGCAGAGGGTTCAAGCACATGGGGACAGGGTGGCCTAGAGGAAGCGGACCCTTCTCTTCTCTGGCCACACAACAGGTGGCTACTTTACATCTGCTCAGGGTGACCACCTGTTGCCTCCCCCCGTGACCACACACCCACAGCAGCGCCTGCAGCCACAGGAGGAAGGGCACCACCCTCCTTGCCCTGGCACTCAAGCCTTTGCAAACACTGGCCCAAATCCCTGAGCCCTGCCCTCGAGCCACACAGATACCCTCAGCTTCTGCCCCAGGCCTTCCCTCAGACTGCTCCCTCCACCTGGACCAACTTCCACCTCTTCACAATCCTGCTTCACCTACAGAATGGTGTGTGCCTCCAAAGCCCAGCACAAAGCCCCCCCGACACCCCCCGCAAGCCTTATGATGCCTTTTCCAGATGGGAGCACTCGGGGCTACTTGAGGATCTGCCTAGCACAGGGATGGCCTAGACTACAGGAGATGCCCAGGGACATCCCCACTCAAAAACTCCCCCTCCTGTGCAGCCCCTCCTACCATGGGGTAGGAAGACCCTTTGGAGTATGGGGGCTGCCCTCCAATGGCCCTGCCTGGCTCTGCAGCAATCTCTCCCACCCAGACCTGTCAAAATCCTAGTCTAACCTCATCCCAAACCAGGCCCTGCCCACCTGTTCTCAGGGGAGAAGAGGTAGACAGACCAATTCTCGCGGACCTCACACCAGTCAGGCTTGTAGACGTCAATCATCTTGCGCACGCGGAAGCACAGAGTCTGGCAAGAAGATGGGGTGAGAGTGGGTCAGTGCTGCCCGGAGCTGCCCATCTCTGACCACCCCGACCACCCAGCAAACTGGAGCTACTGAATGACCTCTGAACATTCCCAGCAAGGCCAGAACGCTCGCCCCACTGTGGTGGTGGTGCGGGGGAAGTGGCTCGCTCCCAGGGGCCGACTCAGCTCAGGTGTGGGCAGCTCCAGCCCGCTGCCTGCTCACCCATCTGGAAGCCCTGTCCTCCTCCGCGGTGCCCACTTCTGCCCCTTAGGCCAGCCCCTGCCAAACCCTCACACTGCAGCCCCGCCCCTAGCCCCTCCCACCTCCTGTCCTAGCCGACCTTTTCCTGGTCCTTTGTCCATCGGCCCCTAGAACCCGTCCACTCACGTAGTCGACCTCCTCCTCGTCCTCCCCGCGGTCCCGGCGGTCATCCATCTTGGTGAACATGTCCTTGGCGATGCTGGGCATCCTGCCATTGCAGTCCTCGTGCCCGGGGTCCGTGCCTGCCATCCTCCAGGCTGCCCGGGGGTGGACACCCACAGGGGGCCCCAGCTCTGCCAGGTCCACCGAGTCTCTGGTGTCGAGGGACAGCGTCCGACGGTGGTGGCGGTGACGGTGTGCCGGGTGGGGGCCATGATGTGCATGGTGGGTGTGCGGGACATGCAGGGGCACGGCCCGTGGTGGACCCTCATCCCGGGCCCCCTCGCAGGCCCGGGCCCCACCGCCCAGCTCTGCTGAGAGCAGGGATTCGTGCTCAGCGGAAGGCATCTTGTGCTTGAGGCTGTTCCAGCTGGAGCGGCGGCTGGCCCAGGCCCCGGTGCGACCCCACGGCCCATAGTAGGAGCTCCGGGAGCTAGACTGGGAGGAAGCCCAGGGCTCCCATCAGCCCCTGCCACACACACCCACAGTTCTGACTGAAGGCAGCCTGCACACTTGCTGAGGCCCTAACATGGCCACCAGCCTGGCCAGTGGGTGACAGAGCCAGGTCCTCTCCCCACCTTGCCTCTCACTCCACTCACATCTTTGGACATGTGGGCATGTCCACAATGGGGTTCCATCTCTACCTGTCACCTCACTTCTTTTGAGGAAGGCACAGCAAGTTAGGCCCATCTTCTTCTTTATAGGTAGGGAAACTGAGGCTCAGAGAGGACTGTAACTTACCCGAGGTCATGTGGAAGTGTCAGAGGCTGGATTTAAGGTCAGGTCTGCCTGACCCCCAAGCCCAGCTCTTTACCCTACACACTGCTGCCAAAATAACCCAATTCTCAACACCGGACCTACTGGCACCATTCATTCATTCATTCATTCATTCCTTGTTTGGTTCCACTCTGGCATTGGAAATACAACAGACACGGTCCCTGCCTGCTTCTGGCTGGACAGTCTGGTGCCCTAAGGCTGGGTACCAGCCTGAGGCTGGACTGGCAGGCACTTCTCCTTAGGGTCCCTCAGAACACAACCCTGCAGCAGGGAGCAGCCACCCAGCGCACCCCACAAGAACTCACCAGGGAGCGCTGGTCGTAGCTCGTCCTCCCCAGTGACATGACACTGCTTTTGCGGGAGCCCAGGGCCACCAGCACAGGGTCGGGCTGCAGCAAGAGGCGGGAGGCAGGTGCCGCAGCCCTGGCCGGGCCCAGATGTCCACCCAGTGGGAGACTGGGGTCCAGGTGCCCATTGGGGGTCATGGGAACTGAGCAGAGCTTGGGATCTGGAGGGGTGTGATGTAGACAGGGAGGGGCAGACAGAAGGCCGGAACAAGAACAAAAGAAGCCGTGAGACAAAGAAATAGACATGAGCGATAGTAGAAATGAAGAGTTTTTCTGGGGAGACCTCCTCTACCAGAAAGTCTTCCAGGCTGGGCCCCGTCGCATGTGCCTCCCCTCCACCTTGCCTGCAGGGCTCTCAGCTTTATTTTTTAGATAAGTGGATCCCTTGCCTTCTGTATTCAGGGCCAGCCCCAAGCTTCACCCAGCATGGGAGCCTCACTCCAGTGCCCGCTGCGGGAGGCAAGGCAGAGACTGTCCAGCCCAGTTACCAAACACGCGGTGTGGGCGGGGGAAGCTCGTTCTAAGCTGCCCAGTGGTGCCAAACAGGACCAGTCCCTAGGCACCCTGAGGCCCGAAGCTCTTCCCAACAGGCCATACCTGTATAAAGGGGTGAGGGTGGGCTGCCCTGTGGCTAGAACTCAGGAGGACCGAGAAAGTCACTGACATGGTTTCAACATTTAGCTTTTCTTTCAAGTATGAATGTAAACAACGAACCTCAGAAAATTAGCAGTCATGGGGCCTGAGCTTGCGGGGAAGCCCGAGGCTGTGCCCTTTGCCACCGGGATCTCTGGGGAAGTGTCCTGGGCCCCTAGGTGACAAGTGCAGGTCTGTTTACCTCCACCACTGTCCAGCCCGTCCTGGAGCTTGTCAAACTCCTCCATGTTGGATAAGCTCTGGTCCTCGTCCGAATAGGAGCGATTGGCGTCACCCTGGGAGACCATCCCTCACATTGGAATGCAAGTCAGCTCAGCCATCCCCTCCCTCTTGAACTTTTCAGTGGGCGTTTTCACCCCCATTTTACAAATGAGGAAACTGAGGCTCAGGAAGGGGACGTGAGAAGCTAAGGAGGACCTAGACCACAAACCCACATCTGAATGATGGCAAGTATCCCCAAAGCCTCAGATCATGGAGGAGGCAGGATCCAGAATCCCAGATCCCAGGGATTTCAGAATCTCAGAGATGGGGAGGTCTAGTCCTACACCCCTGGGGGAGAGGCAGGGGTCCCAAATGCAGCCTCCATTTGCATGCTTCTTGTGATGGGAACCCCCTCCCCTGGAGACTTGCCTGCTAGATGTTTGAATTGCAGCTCTCCCCCTTCCAGACCCCCTCCCCTCACCCAGTTTCATGCAGGCCCCATGGGGGTGCTTCCTCCACCCGGGCCACAGTCACCTCCGCCTGGAAGCCCTCCACCAGGATGGCCACCAGCAGGTTGAAGAGCACGTAGTTGCCGAAGGTCATGAGGGCAACAAAGTAGAGAGAGGCCCAGGGGGAGGTGGAGGCCATGCCATTGTAGAGGACGACGTTCCAGTCCTCCTGGGTGAGGATCTGTGGGGGGGAGGGCACGTGGCTCAGCCCCAGGGTACCCCCAGAGCCCAGCCCAGTCCAAGCTCAGAGGGAACCCACTGGGTGGCACAGCTGCAGGCACACAGCAGCCCATGCATACCTACAGCATCCTCCCACAGGTGCTCAGGCACATCTGGGGACCTCGAGCATCATGGCCCTAGCTGGGGGCATGCCCACCTGGCAGCGCCTCAGGCCCTCACTTGCTCACACACTCACACTGCTCGGGCCACTGCCCCCAGCTCGCCCACACCCTAGGCCTGTGTCTCCCACTCCTGCCCTGACACTCCCCATTAAGTGGTGCTCCCTCCTGGCTGTCACCACAACCCCATCCTCTATCCTACTCATCTGTCACCCCCACCCCCCTACTCCCACCCTCACTCCTCCTCCTGCTCCTTCTGTCCCCGGCACACTGTGTGTACACACTCATTCAACCATGCCCACATTACACAGGAGAAACAGTCTCCTACGTGCCCAAAATCTCAAGGCGGGAGCAGAGGAGGCAGGGATGACAGGCGGTCCCGCTCCCAGGGCCGGCGCTGTACCAGCCTGGCCACACACCCCGGACCTGCCCACTAGAGGGTGGAGCTCAAGGGCCTCCCCGTCAGGACACCCTCTTCTCTGGATTCTCTGAGGCTGGGGACACCTCTGAAAAGCCATCCTGGATGATGGACCTGGGAGAAACCCCTCCTCTTGACACACATGGACACGTGTTGCTGCCACTCGCCTGGAACACCGTGACAATGGCCCACAGCAGGGAGTCGAAGTTCTTCCTGTCCGGGACCGTGTCTCCCGTGTCCGTGCGGAGGCTGAATTTGCAGCCAAAGATGTGCATCCCGAGAATGCTGGGGAGGGATGGAAGTGGCTCAAGAGACTCACACACCAAGCTCCTGCCCACCCACCTGGCTTCATTCTCAAAACAACCCAGTAAGATGCAAGGGGGTTGGTTGCGTTAGTCCCATTTTACAGAAGTGAACACTGAGGCTCAGAGGAGATGTACTCGCCCAGAGCCATAGGGGATTAAGTGATGGTGGGAGGATTCACACCCAGGTCCAGGGTGTGTCCCAGAGAACTCAACCAGCCACTCTGCTACCGATAGCCTCTGAGAGCCCCAAAGCTGTGGTTGGTTCCCCAGGGTGGATGGGCCTCACCTGAAGATGAAGATGAAGAGCATGAGCAGCATGCAGAAGGTCGCCACGTTGTCCATGGTCTTCATGAGCACCACGAGCTGGCGCCGCAGCGCGGGCATGAAACGCACCAACTTCAGCACCCGCAGCAGCCGGAAGGTCCGCAGCACCGACAGCCCACCGTCTGCCTGCCCCACGATCTCCCAGATGCTGCGCCCGCAGGGGTGGGCAGAGGAGAGAGGCAGGAGGAGTGAGTGGGAGGCAGGCAGGAGAGGAGGGCAGAGGCAGGAGAGATGGAGGGCTTCCATTCATTCATTCAGTCAGTCAGTCAGTCATTTAGTCATCCATCCAACCAATAATGTCTCACAGGTCATTGCTGCTCCAAAGCACTCTAAATTGGAGGCTCTTAACCTGAGTCCGTGGACCCCACTCCCCAACATGTCTACGGCTAGAATTCAGGAGGTCCACGAAAGTCACAGAGCTCTTTTTGAGATTTAACATTCTTTCGATTATGAATGGAAGCAACAAAATACAGAGAATTAGCAGTTCCTGTGACCTTGTGATGGATCGAAATCACTGAGATTTTTACACCACAGGACAGTTGATGCACATATTTCAGAGTATAATTTACGCTCATCCCTTCTTTGGGACGGTGGTCACAGACCCACTGCTAGATCTCGCTGTTCAATGCATTCATCCAGAAGCATGTATATTGCTAAATCGCAAAATTTTAAGTATGTTGTTAACTGTGTTTCAGTGTAATTGGTTTCCTTCAATCTTATGTACTTCACTTACTGGCTAGGCCAGTGCATTAAATCCCCCCTCCCCCGCTCTGCCTCTGGGAGGGGGTGGGGCAGCACCTGATGATGACGATGATGCTATCAAAGATGTTGTAGGGGTTGCGCAGGTAGTCGAACAGCCCGAAGGCGGCCAGCTTCAGGAGCATCTCCAGGGCAAACATGCTGGTGAACACCACGTTGCAGATCTCCAGGACGTTGGTCAGCTCCTCGGGCTGTGGGGCGTTGGGGCAGGGGGCGGAACCCAGTCAGGCAGAGGGCAGCCATGGATCCCCTCCGGACGCCCGTCGGTTCTGGGACCCCGCGGAGGCGGTGAGGCCTGGCTCTGCCACCCTGGCTGCGGGGCCTGGCGGGTCAGTGTCCTGGCAGGAACGCCATCCGCCCCCCGCACAATGGTCTTGAGGACCTTGCAACTCTGCTGCTGGGGGTCCTGAGGAGTCCACTGAGATGGTGGGACCCCAGGGGGGCTGACCTTCCACAAATGTGGAAACAGTGCTGTTGCTGCACATGACGATACCCATTTGACACATGAGGGAACTGAGGCTCAGAAGCCGGCTTGAGGTCACATGATGCAGAGCAAACTGGAAAGAAAGGCCAGTGGTTGCCAGAAACTCCCTGCTCGCCCACGACCCTAATCCATTTAGTGAGCACTTGCTCTGTGCAGGGCCTGTTCTACGCACTGAACGGGCATCACTTCACTTGGTCCCTCACAAAGAGCCCATTTTGTCGATGAGGAAGCAGGTTCAGAGAAGGCCAGTCCCCTGCCTGAGGCTGCAGGGTTAGTAACGGGCAGATCCAGGATTCGAACCCAGGCAGCCTGGCTCTTGGGATCCTGCCCTTAGACCCCCCTACCCAGCCCTTCCATCTCTCCCCTCCCCAGCAGTGGCCATCTCAGGATGGTGGGGGCCGGAGACCACCATGCCCTGGGAGGGAGGATGGAGACCGTGCACCTACTGTATGCCATGAGCACCCTGACCAGAGGTGGGAGGGCTGCCACCCATCAGCTCCATCCACCCCAGCCCAGCCCCATGACCTCAGGGGCCTGATGTTCATTCCATTTGGGTTAAAAGGAGAAGAGAAAAAAAAAGAGCTACCCACCGCCCGCTTCCCACCTGGTGCCTGGAAAAGCTAATAAAACTGCCAGCTCCTCTTAAGCCCAGATGAAAGAAGGGCCCACTTCCATCTGTAATTCCATTTGGCTCACAAAATGGTCCTGAAAGGGGAGTGGGACCCTGAGGGGGGCCCCTCGGTGGGGAGGGGCTGGGACCCCGCATCCCTGGCTGAATCAGAGCTACCACTTTCCCTGCTCAACAAAACGATGCATCCGGGAGATGAAAACAATGTAGATGCTGACAGTTCATAATGGCAGATCACCCCACTCTGGGCCACACATGATGCACGGAGCCCACCACTCTCCCAGAAAGGTCACCCGCTCACTTCCGTCCTCCCTCGCAACAGCTGTTTCTCTAGTCAAGTGCACACCTGTTAATCTTTTCCTAATGGGCCATCCATCACTCCTGTGAGCATTTTTCTGGGAGAGAGACAGTGAGTGGGAGAGACAGACAGACAGACAAATAGAGACACAGAAAGTGAGAGACCAAGAGGGACGTATGTGGAGAGGGACAGGGGCAGCCGTAAGAGAGATGGACAGACAAATACAGACACGGAGAGTGACAGGCAAAGGCAGGTATGGAGAGGCAAGACAGAAAGAAAAACCCAGATAAAAACAAAATGAAGGACCAAGATCGTGACGCCATGGGAGTCACAGTTAAAGCCAGAAAGTGAGAGAAAGCAGGTAGGGCAGACAGACAGACAGACAGACAAAGGCTGAGAAGAGGCAACTAGAGATGGCAAAGACCCACCCAGTTAAAGAGGAGATGTGAGAAGGCAGAAAAGCCATGTTCAGCCAGAGGCAGGAGGGGAGAGGGCAGGTGAGGAGGGGCTGCAACCTGGAGGTGAGGCCGGAAGCAGAGGCGGGGAGTGGAGGGGGGTGGGCAGGGACAGGGCCAGCTCAGCCCGCCCCTATGCCAGGCTTGGAAGGCAGTGGGCAACCCAACCTCCGGCCATTTCTGCAGAGGTAGAGAAGGGCCCGGCTGGGCAGGGGTCTACACTGCCCCCAGGAACCCCGGAGCCCAGCACCATCCTCGTAATAATAATGGCAGCTGGTGTTAACATCTCCCACGTGCCAGGCAGTGCTAAGCACTTTCCATAAACTATCTCACTGAAGCCTCAAACATTCCCCTATGGTTTCCCCATTTTACAGACAGGGAACCTGTGGCTCAGAGAAGTGGCTCAGCCAGGCATTGGTGGAATCAGATCTCAAACCCAGGTCTCCTCCCACTGACTCACCCCCCTCCTCATAGCCCGCCCCAGTTTTCTGACTTGAGGCCCCAGTTCAGCACAAGCATGTCACTGCCCTGCTTACAAACCTTGCATGGCTCCCCACTGCCCTAAGGATAAAGATGGCCTCAAGACCCTTGCTGGATGGACAGTGCCCCCGGCCTCCTGGGCTGTCTGCCTGGCCCTGTGTGCACATCCTTGAGGATTCAGGTTCCTTTGAATGGGTGCCTGTGCTCCTCGCCCCTGCTCCTGTCCCTCCTCTGTCTCACTAATGAAATCCTAGTCATCCTTCAGGCTCCATCTCCAGCACCACCGCCTCGGGGAAGCCTTCTCTGACTGCAGCCCGTGTTGGTGTCTCTCTCCCCTAAGCTCTCACCAATCTGAAACACCAGGCACTAAGCGACCCCATCCTCCTCTTCCCAGGTTCACCCCTAGGTCGGCAGTAGCTTGGGGGCTGCTGAAGGGAGAATAAAGCCTGCTTTGACCTATCCACCGATCTGCAGACCTTGAATACAGTCTGCTGGGAGCTGAGGCCAGAGGACATGCCCCAGCCTGAGTCACTCCTGCCCCAGGAGGCACCCTGGACCCCTGCTCTGCTGCCCATTCAGCTCAACTCTCTGCTTTTTTGTTGTTCAACTTAGTGACCATCCTCCAACTCCAGGACAGCCTTGCCCAGCATGGGAGGGGTCATGTGCCTGGATGAGTGGCTGCCAGGAGAGGGAGAAATGGAGGCAGAGGCTGCTCCCAGGAGCAGTGTCTCCCTGCCCCACCTCCTGTCTACTTGTGGAACCTCCAATTCAACCTCAGCATCCCAGAGTCCAGCTTTGACAGCTGCTCACCATGTCACCTGGGAAAACCCATTCCACCTCTCTGAGCCTCGGTTTCCCCGTCTGCCCAATGGGGATAAGACACCAGCCTGCCTGCACCACAGAGCTGCTGTGAAGATCACGCGGAGATGAGATGTGAGAAGACACAACAGCAGGCAGTGATGGAAGATCTGGTGCCCAAGCTGACCCCATCCACTTGCTTAGCATGCAGCCTCAGTTGTGGTCTGGGCCCACTTTCTTCCCAGGGCACTGGGGAGGGGTGGGGTTGGGGGGGCAGACTTCAGCATCATCTGACCGCCTGTGGGTCACAAGCAGGTTCCTGCCTGGCTGGTCCTCCCTTTAACCTATCACTCCTCCCAGGCTGTGGTCATGAGAAACCTGGTGACACTCCCTTGTGATTTTGGCAGCAGTGACCACATGAAGGCCACAGGTACCCGAAATCTCACCTCTCACTGGAGCACTGTGACCAGAATGGCAGAGGTGGAGTAGGGAAGCAGTGCCAAGGTTCTGTGCCCCTTCGCCACCTGCCACCGCCTGTGGCCACACCAAGTTCCCTGCCAGCAAAGTGGGCAGCCGAGGGGGCTTGGCGGGGCCCCCAGGATGCCTCCCCTCCAAGGTCACCACCCCTGCAGGAGAGGGGCTGGGTGCACCTTCTGTTTTCTCCTGCTCCTCCCCTTCTCCCCCTGTGTCCTTGAGGCCCTGGGCCACCTGCCTCTTCAGGGGACACCTCTCTCAGCAGGCACCACTCAGACAGGGCAGCTCAGAATAAACATGGGGGTGGGTACTCTCCTGCAGAGCAATGTCTGGGAGTCAGGGGAGATGGAGCAAAAATACACGCAGCCCACAAGCAGGCCCTGCACAGAGCTCAGCCGAACAATGGCTGCCACTCCGAGCTGCTTTAAAAAGAGTTTTAAAATTCTCCCTCCCCCTCACTTTTTCCTTAATTAACTTTTTGAGGCTCCAGACAGCAGATGGTAAGCTCACCCCAAAAGTGGTGTTACAAGGCTCCAAGAAAAGATTAAAATATAATTCCTAAGTAGTGAGCACCTACTATGCACCAGGCTTCTTAATGCATTTTCCCCTCCCAGCCACTGTGTGAGGAGGTTATGAGGACTCGGTGCACCATTCAGGCTCCAGGCCTGGCACTTAGTAGGTACTCAGTAACCAGGAGCCTATGAGGAAAAGGGCACAAAGTAAGGGCACCTGCTTCGTACATAAGGAAGCTGAGGTGGACCCTACGAAGGGCAGGAGACTAGCCAGTGTGAACAGCCTCTCCCAGCCCAGTGGGGTGCCTCGGGGTGCCTGTGGTGCCAGAGAGAAAAGGCCCCACCATATTCGAGGCTAGAAAGCTTACCCAGGTAGAATATGGCCGGAGTGGGGCGGGGGTGGGGGGTGGACAAGCCAGACAGGGATGCCTTGCAGAAGCTTGGGCAGGGACCATGGCCTGGCCTGAGGCTGGGGCTGGAGGGCAGAGGGAGAGGCTAGACCCAAGGACAGAGCTGCCCCAGCCTCTGTGTAACCCTGGAGGAGACAGCTGGCAAACAGTCCTCTGAAGAATAACTCTGATTTGTAGCATTTGCCAATTTCCATGGTGTAAATACTCCCACCATGGCCAATTTCAAGCTACCAACTACTTTTAGCAGCAGCCTTGAAAAATTCCACAGTGTTAGAAAATTGCTCTCGCAAGCTGGTTCCAGCAAGCCACTGGCAGGGACAGTGCCCGGGCTCTGGCGTAGCAGGACTGTGACAGATCCTCTTGGTGCTGCCCCACTCGGAAACTAGAGCCAGCACCCCCAACATCACCTGTGGGGCCTCCCCCAGGTATGCTGGCCCCCTGCAGGCCTGGGTCTGGCAGAGGCCATAAGACTGGACCCCAGGAGAGAGGGATGCAGGCTGCCTATCTCACCAGCTTTACCCTGCAGAGAACCTTCCCCCAGCCCTCCCCCCAGAGACCTTTTTAATTAAGCTGGAATGGCTGGCAAACCAGCAGCTCTGAACAGAGTGTCGCAGCAGCCCCAGGGGCCTCATTTAAGTAAATTGAATGGGGCCTGCGCGTTGCAAACTAATGAAGAGCGAAATGAGAGTGTGGCCCACTGCAGGGTGCGGGGCCCGCAGCGGGCGGTGGGGCCTCCGCAGAAAGAGGGCAGCAGGGAAGCAGAGGGGCGTCAAGTCCTGAGCCCTTCAGGGGTGTCATTCCCACCACAGAAAGATGTGGGTTCCAATCTAGCCCCTGGCTGGCTGTGGGACCTTGGGCCAGTGTCATCCCCTCCCTGGGCCTCAGGGTCTCCAGCTGCCAGCTGCCAAATGGAGTGCCCTCACAGGGCTGAGGTTCAGGTTAAGGGAAGGAACCCACCTAGGGGCGGGGGGACAGTCAGAGCCAGAAAATGTTGTTTTTGCAAATGGAGCCAGGGCTGGACTTGTCATCCAGGCTGCCGCCTGGGTGTGGCCTATGGACTGGGGATGTCTGCGCTAACCCCCCACAGCCCTCCATCCTGTATCCTTACAGCCTCTTCTCTTTTGTACACAACCTCCATGCGCCTCCCATTTCTAGAAGCCATCCCTCTCCCAGGTGCCAGTCCCTCCTGGGGACCCTTTATCTGAACTCCTCTCACCTCTGAACCCCCGGCTGACCCAAGGGGCCTGGGACACACCATTCAACTCAGCCAACACCCCCCTGCACCCCATGCACCCGGAGCTGAGGACAGAAGAAACCTCAGGGTTGGCCAAGGAGGGAGACAGGGGACAGTTTTAAAGGACAACCACAGGGCCACCCTCGGTGCCACGGGGCTGTGGGGAGGGTGGAGTAAGTGGAGGCATCAGGGACAGAAGGCTGCCCTGCCAGCTGAAGGCATGGTATGGGCAGGGCACAAGGACACTTGAATGTCAGTGGAAAGGTCTGTGTTTTGTGCCAAGGGCAGTGGGAGGTGCAGAAAGTTGTGGGCAGGGGAGAACCCCGCCTCTGGAAATGTCACTCCAGCTGTTCTGGGGAGAATGGATGGGGGCTCACGTGGAAAGGCACTGAACGGGCGTTCGAGGTGGCAGGCACTGGCAGGACATGGGCTGTGGGCGCCCATGCTGAGCTCTCAGGAGGAAAGGTCTCCCTCGCTCTCACCCCAAGTCGTCCAGTCCTAGCACTGCCTCGCTCTTTCACTTATTCAGCAGACACCCTGAGCTCCTCCTTACACTGCGCTTGGCCCTGGGCTGGACACTAAGGCTAATGGATGAACGGGACCTAGCCCTGGCCGGTGGGGAGACAGACACGCTAAGGGTGTTGGACACACCGGGCTGGATGGGACTGGCCGGGAGCCCCGCTCTCGCCCGCCATGCCCGGCCCGGGCCCTGGCGCCCACCCTCACTGGCCTGTTCATGATGCTCGATGCCCATGCTGACGGTGTTGACCAGGATGGCCATCATGATGCCTCGGTTGAAGTACTTGCTGTCCACGATGCCTCGCAGCTTGGCTCGAGTCTCCCGCCACACATCCCCGCACAGCCGGGCGGCCCCATCTGCCTGCTCCTCCTTGTCCTCCTTCCCCAGCCCCGAGGAGGCCCCGTCCTCACTGCTCCGGGCCTCATCCCCGTCGCCCTCGTCCTCGCCACCGCCTGAGCCCCCAGAGCTGGAGCCCTCCTGGCCTGAGTCGGTGCTGCCCAGGCCCAAGGGCCGCTGGCCCACCTCGCGCTGGCAATGGGGGCAGCTGGCGGGGTCGGAGGCCAGCATGGCAGAGATGGGTTGCACCAGCGTGTGGGGCGTCGGGTCCAGGGGGCTGTGTCTCGGGCACAGCTCTGAAAAGCAAACAGAGGGCAGGGTCGGTGCCTCAGGTCACACTTGGGGGTCTCAGAGGAGGCCACATCCATCCACACCAGGCCCTGGTGTGACCCTGGGACAACACCCTGCGTGTGTTTCAGGCCCCCACGGCCCACAGGGTCTGCCTGGGACAGCCAGCCCCACCTGGAGGCCAAGCGGCCTGCGGTTCCTGAGGAAATGGAAATGGCTTTGTTTTCCCCTGTGCAAAAGCGGGGACCAGGGGCGCCCGCCATGCAGGGCTGGGGGTTTTCATTGGTTAATATGCATGATGTGGCTGGGGCACACACTCATGTTAACTGTCCCTGCCTCATCACTCTCTGGACTGTGGCCCGGGGTTAGTCACGGGACAGACCCTCCCAGAACCCCATCCCCTTCCCACGGCCCTGCTTGCTGACGTGGTCACAGAGTCTGGGAAATGGCTGAGGAGGAGCTTCTGAGAGCCAGGCTGGTGTGGAGGGCGGCCGCCCCTCACAGGAAGCCAAGGTAGTCTCAGCGTTGCTCAGTCCTCAGCCTGCACGTGGAGCTTGTGGCAAGCCCCAGCTCCAGATGGCCCCTGGAACCACCTGCACAAGCTGAACATCAGGCTGGGGCCGGCCAGAGGGGCGGATGAGGGCGGAGGAGGGAGCTTCCCCCCTCCTTCTCTGCCCAGGGAGGGCGTGAGACACCTGGGCCAGGCTGAGACCCGAGGTACTATGATTTGTAAACCATTTCAAAGAGAAGTCAGAGAAGCCTTTCTGGGTACTTTGCTTTCTTCTTTATATTTGTCCATATTTTCCTAGAATAAACACGTATTGCTTGTGTAAACAAAAAAAAATTAATATTAAAGGGGAGGAAAAACATGTAATGCCTGCCTTCATTTTCACACTTGCCTCCAAATACCTCTCAACCCCCCAGGACAGGCATCTGGCTCATTTGTCCCCAGGAGCGGGAGCGGGGTGGCCAGAAGCCCAGGGGTCAGTACCCCCTCAGCCCAGGACAGGGCAAAGCCCTTTGTCCTCCCCCACCACCCACCCCACCTGGACTGGGGCTGGGCTCCCTGACACTTGTTTCCCAGGGACCTCCCCCGACTCAGGTTCCGTGGAGAGGGTGGTGGGCAGCCGCAGGGATCCCCTTGCAGTGAATACCCCTCCCTGAGCCACTCAGGATCTCTGAGTGTCAGCCTTGCCCAGAGCCCAGCTGCCCGCATCTGGGTGCCAGGCCAGCCCGTGGGCTACCTGGGGCCTCCTCCAAGACCACACCTGGACAGCTGGTGCCGAGGACCAGTGGGCAGCAGGTCTGAGCATGAATTCTCCAGCTTGCCTCCCAAGAATCTCAGAGCTGAGTTTTTGTCATTGACACACTGTGCGACCTAAAGTGACTCCCTTCATCTCTCTGGATCTTAGTTTCCCATTTGGGGGTCATATTGCTCATTCTCAGGTCTGTTTTCTAAAATAGAGAGCTCTTTCCGAACCTAAAATGCTAACTTTCAGAAATGACTGGTGACAGTCGAACAAGCAGAGACATGGACCTGAGGCAGGAGATCAGAGTGGCACAGGTGTCCCCAACATGCCACACCTTTGCAGGGCTGGCCTGGCCCCTTTATTCCAGGTGACCAGGTGCCACTGTTCAGGTATGCTATCAAGGATACAGGGGTGAGGCCGGCTGCAGCGGGAGGGAATTTTAGTTTCACAAAACTGAGTTCATGTCTTTCAAGCGTGGCTCCCAGAGGCAGAGCCTGAGTCCACGTGCACACACTGGATGGGGAGGGAATTCCTCCAGGGCACGGGCTTCATCCCTGAGCCCAGGGTCAGCCCAGGCCAGGCACTGGCAGATGGTCAGGAAACAAGGGGCAGGAACGAGGGGTGCAGACTGGCACTCCCAGGGGAGACCTGGGTTCTCAACCAGCTGGTCTGGCCGGCTCTGCCTGCACTGGGGAGACAGGCTTGCCAACAGTGCTGTTTGGGAGTCCCCAGTTGGAGGCTCACAAGGCCCGGGTGGGGCACCCTGGAGGCCACGGGAGGCAGGGCCACTTACTGAAGTGCCTGGGCTCCTTGGCTTGGGGCCCAGGCTTGGCGGAGGTATGGACCTCCGGGCCCAGGGCCTGGCGCCGACTCTGCAGGGCCTGGTAGAGGCCCAGGGTCCGGCGCTTGGCCTTGCGCAGGACGTGGCAGACGTACTGGAAGATCTCCTCGTAGCAGTCGCCAGGCTCGGCATAGCTGGCCACCGTGCTGGAGGACAGGTAGCGTTGCCGCTGCTCCAGCATCAGCCGGTGCTCCCGCTGCTTGGTCTCCGAGAACTGGGTCGCTATGACAACGAGGCACAGGTTGATCATGAAGAAGGAGCCCACCTGTGACCAACGGGAGGGAAGGACAGGGACAGAGGGGACAGAGGGGTAGAAGGAGGCAGAAGTGGGGGTGGGGCAAGAGGGAGACAGAGAGATGGAGAGAGACGGAGACAGAGGCAGAGCGAGAAGAAGCAGAGGGATAAGAGGCAGAAAGGAAGACAGGAGGGGGACAGGGACCCATTCGAGACACGAAACAGGGAAAGGACAGAGTGGGAGGCAGACAGCCAGAGACAGCCAGGGGCACAGAGAGGCAAGAACAAGGAGAGACACCGAGAGAGAGAGTGAGACAGGCTCAGAGAAGACAGAAACAGAGGGCATGGGAGAACGCAGCGTGACGGGGCAGGTGGAGACAGGGACACAGAGGAGGAGAGGAAGGTGGAGGGCCCGGAGAGGCAGAAAGGCACGGCACAGATAGGGACAGGAAAAGAGCACTGAGGCCTTGCTCCGGGAGGAGGCCAGGGCCCCAGACAGCGGTGGCCCAGGCAGATCCCCAGGCCCCCCTGGGACCTGCTTCTAAGCCCGCTCCCCTTACACCTCTAGTGTTAACCACCGCTGCCCTCCCACCTGGGACATCAGCTCTGAGGCCGGGGAGGGAGGCACAGCCTTCTCAGGCTACCTGGGCCGAGTCCCACCCCAGCCCTGCCCCTCTCTCTGGCCTTGCCTTTGGCCCCAGCTAGGCATCCAGACAAGAACAGAGAAGCGTTCCTGAGAAGAGGTTTGCCTGTGTGCCCTTATCTGGGCTTGGCTGGGGTAGTAAGGAGTGGCCACCTTGTTAGTGCTAGGAGCACGGCCACCTCAAGTCCCAGGGCCCAGCTCCAGGGGCCACCACAGGCAGGAGGGCCCCTCCTGTCTTGGTTTCCAGGGGGCAGGCCCCTCCCCTGGCATTTGCTAAGCGTTTGAATGGGCCTGAGCCTTGCCAGCCAGGGAGTGGGTGGCTTTTCATCCTCCTCCAGGCTGCCTGCCAGGAGGTTCCTACAGGCTGCAGCCCCAGTCATGGACTCACGTCTCCCTCCTCTACCCTACAGCATAGCTGGGGAGCTGGGGTTCTGGGGTTGGGGTGGGGGCTTCCAGGCCCAGACAACTCTGAGAAAATTCCCACTCATTCACTCTCTCAGTCATTTATTTCACGAGCATTTCCTGGGAGACCTGCTCCACACCAGACCTGCGTGAGGGGTTCAGACGCTGCCCTCTGGGAGCCCACACCTGTCAATCTTCGTTCCAATCTGCCTCTGCAGCTGCTGCCCCTGGGGGACCCAGGCAGCTTCCCATTCCCTCTGGACCTCCTTTTCCCCATCTGTAAAATGGAAGGCTCAGGCAAGACGAGCTTAGGACTTTTCCAATCAGAGGGAGCACCAGGAATCTGGGTCTGAGGACTGAGGACCCCTCGCCGGCTGTGTGACCCAGGCCAGGCACCTTACCACTCAGGGGCTCGGGGTCCTCACCTGTGGAATGAGCAGGTGACGCTGCATGGCCAGGTTTGAGAGGGTAAATGACAGCATGATCGCTCAGGCTCTGCTGTCTAGACTGTCACTGTTCCTCATTTCACTATGAGCTGGGGAGCTAAGCAGCCTGCCCAGGGTCACACTGGGTGTTACCGACCCCGGGCTCCGGTCCCTAACTCCATCAGAAGGAGCAGCCAGACTTGCTCCCTGGAACTCTAGGCTTCTCCAGCAACCCCAGTGGTTCGCTGTCCCCCTTGCTGGAGGATTCTGTCCACTTCATGGCCTCCGGAACGCTCCCCTGCCCAGAAGTCTCTTCCTTTGGCTGCTACACCCATCCCCCATCCCCCCACCACTGAGCCTTAATTAAGGCTCGATTCTGGTGTCACCTCCTCCAGGAAGCCTTCTGCGCCCCCGTCCCTCTTCTGAACTGGGTTAGAGGCCTCCTTGGACTCCCTCAGCCTCTTGGGTGTTCCCCTATCCTGGCTCCCAAGATGCTGTCTGGTCACTGTCTGCTGTAGCCCATCTACCCCCACAAGACTGTGAGCTCCTCAAGGGCAGGGCCCAGCCTGACACTGCTCAGCTCCCATCACTCGGCCAGGGCCTGGCCAGGGCAGGCTTCCCTGACTGTGCCAGGGAATGATTGAACCAGCGGACAAGTAGCGATGCTGAGCAAAGCCTGGGTCCCCCTCCTTTTATCTGGGGTATCTCCTTATAGATCCAAGGCCCCAGCCTCCCCAGGAAGGCATTAGAGCAAAGCCAACAGCAGGTGTGTCTCAGGTCACCTGCCGGCTTGTCCTGCACCCACAGGTCACGTCCCACCAGCCCAGGATGGGGTGCTGCCCTACAGGGCCAAGCGTGCCCTCTCCCGCCACCAGGAGGCCGGAGAATCCAGCTCCCAGCAGCAGGGAGCCAGCAGCAACTCTCCCAGGAGTGAATCACCTTGACATTTGGGGATTGTGCGGTATTGTGGCTGCAGCTGCAGTCAGGCATGACACGGGGATGAGCTCTCCCTGGGGAGACCGCGTGGCGGAAGCAGGAGGGGCTGGCTGGGAAGGGGGCCCTGCTCTGTGAGGCAGATGGAGCCCCACCTCCATCTCTAGGTCACCCCTATAAGGCAGAGCTGCCTGAGAGATGGGGGTCCCTCCCAGAGTTTCAGGGAGCTCCCCCAGGTCACAACAGGCTCCGTCTCCTTTCCAAACCCCGCTCGGGAAGCAGCCCCGGCCTCTGTTTCAGAGCATCTTGTCTTCCCGCCCCCGAAAAAGAGGGATAAGCTGGAGCCCTGGCGAAGCTTCCATCCTGGGGCTGCGCCTGGCTCAGGTCATGAAAAGCATGTATTCCCAGGGACTACAAGGAAGAAAGACAGGAGCGGGAGCCGTGGGACGGACTCAAATGCCAGAAATGAGAAATGAAGACAATCGCAAGTGATGGATGCTTCCAGGAGCCGCCCCTGACGAGGCCCTTCAATCATCCGCTGTTGAGCTGCATTTAAAAATTGCCCCTCCTGCTCTCTTCCACCCAGCTCTTCCAGTTCTGAGGGGCTCCCTGGGGACTCACAGAGATTTCCCCCCACCTGTCCCCTGGTACGTGGGTCCTGGAGCTTGCCCAGAGAGCCCCAGCTTCCCTGATACTTACTATGATAAGCAGGATAAAATAGATGAAGTTGTAGAAAGAGTGCGCATCCATCACGTAGTACATGATTTCCACCCAGCCTTCCAGGGTGATCACCTGCAGCCAGGACAGAGCCAAAGGGGACAGAGAGCCTGAGCTGGGCTGACCCTCGAGAAATGCGGAAACAAAGGCAGCGCCCTAGGCACAGGCTCTACTGTGTGCCAGAACGCTTACACACACTACTTCTCGTGCGGGGCGGGAAATTGAGGTTCAGAGAGGTTAGGGCACTTGCCCAATGTCACACAGCCAGGAAGGAGTGGAATGAGGACTTGATTGGGTCCCGCTCACTCCAGATCCCATCCCCTTTGCATCCACCACACCGAGGCCAGAGGGCTGGAGGCAGGGGTCCGTGGGGCCCAGCTCCAGCTCGCCAGCTGGGCCACTCTCTGAACCTCAGCTTTTTCTCTTCAGTGCACGAGGCTAACAGAGCCTACCTCGCAGGGCTGGGTGCAGCTCAGCTGAGCCTGGGAGGGTGGCCGTGATGAGGCTGGTGTGACTGTTCCCACACACTCCTTCCCAGAGAGGGAGGTGGAACGGTCTTGGGCAAGACAAACGCAGGGTCCTCCCCAGCACTGCCATGTTGTTCACTTCTGGCAAATGCATGAAGCAGGAGCCCCTGGGAAGCCCACCCACTCTGTCCGGCCTGGGGGGTCCCAGAATGCAGCTGCTGGGCTGTGATCACATCACACTTGGAAACTCTGAGTCCTGTGATAATGCCACTCCCCAGAGCAAAGCGAGAAGAGCAGCCACCTCAGTAAGGACCTCGGGCCACCGTCCCCTGTTCCTGCCCCATTCTTCCTTCTGACGACAGCAGGGAGGTAGCCCTTACTGAGCACTCGCTCACTACACACTGGGCTCATGGCTCTGCTCACATCATCCGGTTCTTTCTTCTCAGACACTCAAGCTTGGGGGGAACCGTTGTTATCCCCCATTTTAGAGATGTGAAAACTGACACACAGAGACATCAAGCAAGACGCCCAAGGTCCGATAGCCCTTTCTTTGAACCTCAGTTGCTCTGTCTGTGATGTGGGCATGATAATGCCTATTGTGCCAGCAAGTTGAGCAGATTTCAACGGAACAGGTGGCAAATGCCTAACAGAGAGCCCTGCCAGCCAGGTGAAGCTGCTCCCACCCCCACCCTCTGGCCCCCAGGCCCAGCATGGGGGCCGGTGCCTGGCCTGAGTGGCCTCACCTGGAAGATTACAATCCAGGCGTAGCCAATGTTGTCAAAGTTGATGGCGCCTTTGTGGGGGTTGGCACTGCCCGTGCGGCACACGTTATAGTAGCGGTTCCAGTTGACACAGAGCCCGCTGGCGTTGAGGTCCTGGCGCCCCGCCCCGAAGTCATAAACATCGTCCTTGGACAGGCAGCACTCGCGGCCCTGCTCCTTGAGCGGAGGGATCTCGTGGCAGCCCATGATGCCATTGTCCCCTGACAGGGAGCAGATGAAGGGCATCTCGTCGTCCTCCTCTGGCTGGTAGTAGGGGGGCAGGGCCACATCCCCTTGTCTGTCCACAGGTGATGGTGGGTAAAAGAGGAGAAGGGGAGGGGTCAGAGCTATTGCCTTCAGGCCTTTGCATATGCTGTTCCCGCTGCCTGGGACACCATTCCCCACCTCTGCCACGGTCACAAAAATTCCACTGCCCCACTGTGATCAGTTCGAGGGTCCCCCTCCCTCCGGGGAGCCTTTCCTGAGGGAACCTCCCCAGGATCAAGGAGGGCTGATCGTGGGCCCCCTGTGGCCAGCCTGTGCAATGCACATCACCCCACTATTGCTCGTAGGGCTTACGCACCCAACCCCCCTAGGAAGCTGGGCTCTTTTAAGGCAAGCACTAGGTCTCAGCATCCCTAGTTCCTACACACTATTTGGTTGGCATAGAGTAGGTGCTCAATAAACAAATGCTGAACTGTACTGATCCGCCTTTCCCAGCTATGGGACCTTGGGCTGGCCACTTCCCCTCTCTGGACCTTGATTTCCTCATCTGTAAAACAGAGATGACAATCACTGCCCTGCCCTCCTGCAGGGTTAATCTATGATTCACTGCAATCACTATCAAAATTCCAACATGATTTCTGCCTGTGGAACCTGGCCAGATGGTTCGAGGGTTCATCTGGATAAAAGAACAGTCAAACACTTTTTTAAAAGAAGAACGATGAGTGGAGTCCAGCCCTCTGAGAGGAAAAAATACTCTAACTACAAGTATTAATACGTGTGGTATAACAGGAACAGAAGATACACAGGACACCACAGAGCATAGGAACAAACCCACATATAAGGAGAACTTAGTATATTATGGAGATGCCTTTTCAGATCTATGGGGAACAGAAGGACTAGACAATTCCCTATCACCTCTGTTTTTCAACATAGTATCGTAAGTCCTAGCCAGAGCAATCAGGCAAGAGAAAGGAATAAAAGGCATTCAAATAGGGAATGAGGGAGTTAAATTGTTACTCTTTGTAGATGACATGATGCTATATATGGAAGGACTACACAATAAATGGTGTTGGGACAATTGCTATCTATTTGGAAAATAATAAAGATAGATCCCTACCTCACACCATAAACACAAATAAACTTCTTGAAGACTTGGTATCAAAAGAAAAAAAAAAGAATGTAAATTTCTCATTATTGTTTCTAATTGTATACTGAAAACAGTAATATTTTGGATATATTAGGTTAAGCAAAACATATTATATAATTTTAAAAAGAACAAACTTCTGGGGGCTTAGAAAGCATAAATGCAACAAACATAACCATCCAAATATTACAAGAAAATATGGAATATTTTTGTTAACTCAAGATATATAAGGCATTCCTAGATGAGACACACAAAATCCAAATTCTACAAAGGAAAAAGTCAAGATGAACTATATACAAATGTAAAATCTCTATGAAACAAAAGATAACATATAAACCAAAAAGATAAGCAACAAACTGGGATAAAGCAGAGGGAAGCAAACTTTTTCTGTAATGGTCCAGAGAGAAAATTGTATTTTGCAGACTGTGCCAGTTGAGACTGTGCCAGTTACTTCACTTGACTATTGCAATATAAAAACAGTCAGAGGAAACAGGTAAACAAGTGGGCATAGCTGTGTTCTATTAATAATAAAACCTTATTACAAAAACAGGCCCGAGTTTCCTATCCCCTGGCATAAAGTATTTGCAACATAGAAAATAGATAAAAGATAACTATGTAGAGCACATTAAAGTCTCCTATAACTCGAGAAGAAAAAGAAAAAGAATCCACTAGGGGGTAAAAAAAAAAAAGACAAAAGACAAGAACAAAAAATTCACAGAAGAAATAATAGTGGCCAAAGTATAGGAAAAGATGCTCGCTTCCCTAATAACAGGAAAATGCCAATAAAAATAACACTGAGACCATTTTACCTCCATCCAAACAGCAACCATTTCGGGATTGATCATTCTGAGTGTGGAAAGTGGTGAGTGCAAACAGATATGCTCATACACTGTTGGTGGGAGCGTAAACGCGTACGACCTTTTTAGAGGACACTTTGGCAACATCCATCAACAATTAACAGGAACACATCCAACCCAAATACATATGGACACCTGACTATAAAAAGGCACCATTGCAATTGGTGGTGAATGGGTGGACTTCTCAGTCACTGTGCTGTGACAATGGAACATCCACAGAAAAAGTGAACCTTGACCCCTGCCACACACCATGAAAATTATTTCAGATGGAATATACAGTCCTAAATGCAGATGATAAAGCAAAAAAGCTTCCAAAATAAAACATTGGAGAATATTTTCATGACCTTGGGTTAGGAGAAGACTTCTTAAACTGGATACAAAAAGCAATACTTAAAAAATTATTGATAATCTGGATTCCATTACCACTAAGAGCTTCTGTTTGTCAAATGACACCATTAAGAGAGTGAAAGCAAAAGACTCAGACTGGAATAAAATATCAGACATACATCAAATCTCCTCACCAAAGGACTCAAGTCCAGAATATAAAGAACTACTACAAATGTATAAGAACAAGAAAAACAATCCAATTTAAAAATGGCAAAAGGCTACAACAGACACTTCGCAAGAGGACATACAAATGGCGGATACACATACGAGAGATGCTTATCACCACCAGCCATCAGGGAAACACAAATTAAAACAATAAGACACCACTGCACTCTCACTAGAATAGTGAAAATGAAAAGGAATGACAATGCCAAACGTTGCAAAGGAGGCGGGGCAACGGAAGTCTCCGACTTTGTCAGAGGACGATTAATGCAACCATTTTGGAAAACTATTTGGCAAAACCTACTGAAGCTAAATATATGCACACCCTTACCAGTAATCCCACGCCTGGGTACTTACCCAAAAGAAAGGATGGCTATATCCACCCAAAGATATGTACAAGACTACGTGTGAGTCATGAACCAAAAAAAAAAAAAAACCAGAAACAACCCAAATCAACAGCAGGATGGAAAAATCAGTAGTGGTGTATTTGCTCAGTGGAATACTCAGCAATGGAATCGAAGGGGCGACTGACACATGCAGCAACCTGGGTGACTCTCACAGACACATTATGCTGAGCCCAAGAAGCAGACACAACGGTGACATCCAACATGATTCCATTTAAAGAAGCCTCAGAAGCAGGCAAGACAAATCTAGGGTGACAGAGGTCAGAACGGTGGCTATTTGGGGTGAGGGGGGTAGTAACTGGGACGGGGAAGAGGGAGCCCTCCCGGGCGCTGTAAGTTTCCTTGGGTGGACGTCCACTGTGCACACCCCGGTAAAACGTCATTAAGCTGTACACGGAATAGTGGTGCCCGCTACTGAATGTAATTTATACCTTAATCAGAAAAGTAGAAAGAAACGTACATACACGTTGGCTGGCAAGTGTAAGTCTAGCCATTGATCACACGTGTATAGGAAGTTTGCACGTGTACACGTTGCACCCAGCAGCCTTGTATGTAAGAGCAAAATCCTGGAAACCGTGCCAGGCCCGTTAATAGGGGCTGGCCAGAAGAATAGTGGTTCATCCGTGGAATGAGAAACGCTGATGTGAAAACACGCTCCAGACACATCGCCACAGCAATTCGCATTTTTAAAACCTGCCTGGGGTGTAAACGGTCGTGTGTGTGCATGCTAATGCCTAGACAGAGTCTGGGAGAGGGAGCAGGCGCTTTGCAGAGGACACCAGATCCGCTCAGGCTCCGGGCCCTGCCGCTTCCTAGCAGGGCAATGTCATCCTGATTCTGAGCTCATCGAGGACTCTCAAACCCACCATTTGGGGTCTCCCCAGGGGCTCGAGCACCTGGAGGGGTGCTTTGAGCACACTCCCTGGGGCAGTCACAGCAGGCTGTAGAGTGAGGGGCACCCGGGGTCTGAGTCCAGCTCTGACTACCAAGCGCCCTGGAGCAGGGTTCTCCTGTCTTAGCCTGTTTCCTGGTCTTCTCGAGAGAGCAAATGTTATCTCTACCGCACCTGTCACACAGGAGCACTTCATCATTGCTTTCCAAGTAAATAAACTCGTCTAGAGACATTCAACACCCAAGTAAATAAACTCACAGAGGTCGTGCCAAGAAGAAAATCAAGCAGGATCATGCGAGAGTGTCTGGGGGAGAGGCGTGGTGAGGGAAGGCCTCCAGGAGGAGGCAACCCTGGGACTGAGCCAGGATAATGGGAAATCGGTGGCCAGGAATGACCTAGGGAAAGATTCATGTGGGACAGAGGGGCCTGGATGTGTCCCAAGCCCCCAAAGCTCAGATTGAGAGCTCATACCTGCACATCTCTATCTTTGAAGGCCAGACCAGCTGCCCAGTGTCCCCTCTCCAGCTGCCCCAGGCCCTGCCTCAGGGCCCACCTCTTCCGAATGATTGACACAAGTGTAGGCCTACCCCCGCCCCCACAAGGCCCCACTGTTCCCCCACAGTCCCTTCCCCAACCTTCACCCCACCTCTGGTTTCGCTTCATCTCCACAACTGACAGTCAGGCCATGAGGAAGAAAGCTCAACCCACCCCGGTGCAGTGTTCCCAGGCCTTTTGTAGCCATCCTCAGTCCACGAGAGTCACTTAGTGGTGGCATCTGTGACCAGCCCCCAGCCCGGGCACTCCCCTGGGCAGGAAGTCCATCTTCTGCTGCGTCCTCAGCATTGAGCCAGGGCTTGGGCTTGGCGAGAGTAGCCACTTGGGTGCGTTTGTCAAGTGAGAGGATGAATGAAAGTGCTTTCGCAGCCCGTCTCCCTGGGGCCTGGCACACAGCAGGTGTGCCCTAAAGCACCTGACAATGAAAGTATACTCGTGTGCAGACACATCTGTACGTACACACTCGAAGACGCTGCTGATCCCTCACCGCTGGAACTCGGCCCACCCCCCTGCTTTTAGACACAAGGCGGCCTAATTCAAGTTGACCTTTCCTGATGACTCAGAGTCACTAAGAGGAAGGAATGCCTGTGCTGTACTCAGAAAAACAGGTTCCATGTCTACTTTTGAGGCTTTCTGTCTTCTTTCTCCCTGTTGACCTCGCTTCTGCTTGGGTCTTACCTGCCCTTTTCTCCCTGTCTGGTCTCCTTCTACAGCTGACCCTTGAACAACGTGAGGTTAGGGCACTGACCCCCATGCAGTAAAAAATCCATCTATAACTTTTGACTCCCCAAAAACTTAACTACTAATAATAGCCTACTGTTGACCGGAAACCTTACCAATAACATAGTCTATTGACACATTTTATATGTTATATGTATTGTATACCATGGTTTTAGAATAAAGTAAGCTAGAGACAAGAAAATGTTATTAAGAAAATCATAAGATTTGCCTGTGCGTTTTTCCAAATTGTCACAAATCTCCAAAAGATGGTCCAATATATTTGTTGAAAAAGACCCACATATGAGTGTACCCACGCAGTTTGGACCTGGGCTGTTTAAGGTTCAACTGTAAATTGGCTGCTTCCACTCTGTTGGCCCTGATTCCCAGCATCAAGTAAGTTAAAACCATGTATTAAGTAAGAGTCACTAGGAGCTAAATGAGCATCGAAGGGACTAGTTTAGACTGGGGCTTTGTGATATCAATTTTGAGAGCTCACAGGCCTTCTGTGCTCAATATCCAGCCATTCATGGGAGACCCATCACCAACTCACCTGGGAACATCCCTTCATCTCTTGCACCACTGGGCAGAAGGATTGGGACCAGGTGCTCAATGGGGAGACCTTCCTAGCTCTACATATGCAGCACCACAGCTGCCCCAGGTCGAGCTGGCCGGGAGCCACCTGGGTGGCGGGGGCTGCACTCACATGGTGAAGTTCTCCTCCAGGAAACAGCGGTTACGCAGCAGGCCCGCCCAGAGCTGCACGCCGATGATGCCAAAGATGAAGAAGACAAAGAAGCAGAGCAGAAGGACGTTCCCCAGCATGGGCAGGGTGTCCAGGAGCAGGTTCACCAGAATCCGCATACCTGGGAGGGTAACGGGGGAGGGGTAATCAGGTAGGGAGCAGAGGTCCCAGAGAGGGGACAGAGGAGAGCAGGGTTGGAGAAACAGAGAGAGGGTGGGGACACACTGGCCAGGGCTCCTTCCTGGTACCAGCCTGCTCAGTGGCTCAGAGAGACCTTCTCCTTGGTATCTGCCCCTCCACCCAGAGGCCATGGAAATGGCTCTGGGCCCCGCTGCACTTCCGCTAGATTGCAGATGACTAAGCAGGCATTTATGGAGTACCTCATATGCACAAATATGATCTCCTTCAGTGTTCATGACAACTCCGTGAGTTCGGTAATATTACCCCTATTTTATAGAAGAGGCAACTGGAGGTTCATAGAACTGAAGCTACTTGCCTGGGTCATACAGCTAGAAAGTGGCAGGGTCTGGATTTAAACCAGGTGTCCTGACACCCAGCCTAGCACCCAGCCTGGCTCTCCAGTACACAGAGCCAGGGGCCAAGTCTGGCTCACGATGCCCAGCATCCATCTGGGATGGGCACAGCAGGTGCCTAACGAATGTACCTGAATGCCCTTCATCTCCAGGGCAGTCCACGGTCCCTTGAGCATGCCAGGACATACCAGTACCAGCCAGAACCACCCTGCTGCCCCAGCCCACTGTGTATGGAACCAGGCAGAGCCACCTACAGAAAGCGAGGGACTGCGATCTGGCCTGATGTCAGGAGAAGAGACCCTTCCCTTCCTGAGAAATAACTGCAAGGAACCAGCCAAGCCAGTGGCAAAAAGAGGAGAAAGTGAAGAAATGGGAATGGAGACAGGAGTCCCCAGAAAGGGTGACAGGGTGACAAGGTGACCTGAGGGGGACTTCAGGCAGGCATGGAAAAAGGAGCAGAATGTGTTGGTCACATCCTGGAGGGGCCTGACATCCTAAAACCCAGCAGGTAGGGAGAGAAAGGCTGTGGGAGCACATAGCCTCTGATTCAGAGAGATCCCAGTTCAAATCATGCCCTGCCGGCCTGTGGGACCTTGGGCCAGTCCCTTCCCCTCTTGGAGGATGAGACTCCTCAGAAAAGGGGCCCAAGGAGACAATAGTCATCCTGCAAAGGTTCCCTATCTCAACATCTAGTCTTTTTTAGCCCTAGCATATAGTTATCCATTTATCCTCCTGTCTCTTCCACTGGGCTGTAAGCTCCTGTGTCTGTGTCACCTCAGTGTTCCCAGAACCCAGCACGTCCAGGCCCAGAACAGTGGCTCAGCTAACACTTGTTGAATGACTGCTCGTAATGCATGATCTTATGAGTCATGGGAAGAGAGTGAAAGATAGGGGAGCGGCAGATGGAAAGATGGTGATAAGGAGAACAGTGGTCCTGTCTCGGTTTTTATTTATTCCAGGGGTGATGCTGAGGTGGTTATTAACAAGAGTAATTATTTAGGATTTGCATCACAAGCTCTGTGCAGAGTGATTTCCAATCAATAATTAATGCCCACCCCATCCTTCCTCCCCACAAAACTAGGCCAGGGTCCTCTCGGGAAAGGCAGTGGGGTTCCCTTGCAGGCTGCAGCCTCCAATCGAGAGCAGGCTGGGGAGTGAGGGCTCAACACCCCACTTTCCACACCTGACCCCAGACAGGGTAGCCAGGGGATGTGCAGAGGAGAGAAGCAAGAAACTAGAACAAGCGCCCTATAATCCATCCGAACGTTCAGTAAGCCACTGCGGGCCTTCCTGGTGCCTCATCATTCATTCATTCATTCATTCATCAAACACTTATCAACACTGCTGCTTGCCAGGCACAGTGCTGGCCACATGGGGGATCCAAGGATGAATAAGTCCCATTTTTCACCCTGTCAGAGCTGGCAGTCTAGCAGCAGAGGGACAGGGGACCAGACTGTTGGGAGTAAGGACTGTGCCCGGCGGCGGAGAGGGGGGGTAGCGGCAGCTCCAGTCACATTCCTGGAGGGACTGACTTGAGCTGGGCCCTGCAGATGACAGGAGCTTGTGGCAAAGACACAGAGGTGTGACCATTCAGAGCGTGCACCAGGCCGTGCTTGGGGATTCTAAGGAGTGTGGGGCTCCGTGCTAGGTGACTGGTCAGGGAGGCCCTTCGGCAAAGTCTTGATGGGCTCTGACCTTTAACTGGGAAGGGCAAATCCTGGGGGCCAGGACAGAGGCCGGAGGCAAGCACTGAGCTCCAGGCAGTGGCTGCACGAAGGGGCTGGATCAGAAAGGCCTCCAGGAGGCGGCTCAGCCCAATCCCCACCTAGCTGCTCCATGGCTGCTCTCCTGGGTCCAGCCTTTGTTGCTCAATTAATTACATTTCCCTTGTTTCTCCAGAATATTAAAATTCTGAAAGGCTCCTGAAAACCTGCCCGGCTGGCTTCCCTGAATGGCAGCCGGATCCCTCCTCCCCTTCCGCCTCCCTCTGCTGAGCTGGGCCCCAGCTCACTTCATGGTCCTCCCTGGGGCCCAGGGAGTCCCAGGGCCACAGAGCCAAGGCATAATTAGCTAATTAGGGACCTAGCACGAGTTTATCACTTTCATGCCAGGGAAAGGGAACCATGTGGATTAGGGAGTCAGGGACCACCCCGCGAGACCCCAGCTAATCCTCCTTTTATGCCCACAGTCAAGTAATTAGCCAAGGCAAGTCAAACAGTTCTGCCCTCCGTTCCCCTGGCACTGGGCACAGGAGGTGGAGGCAGAGAGAGGAGAGAGAAACAAAAAGACAGAGAGAGAAAGTGAAACAGAGAGAGAGACAAAAAAAATGGAGACCCAACAGATACGGAGAGAGACAGAGGCTGCCTTCAAGACCTGTCACCATCTGATTCAGACCACTCATCTCTCTCCACACCTTCCCCCAGCCAAGCCCTCCTCCTCCAGGCAGTCTTCTCTCATTCACAGCCCCATTTGGCCATGAAGCCCTCCTAGCGCTTACTTGGTTCTGTTTCTTAGTGAGACTTTTCCAGCCTTCAGCCTGGCCTAGGGGCCACGTGGCCTTGATGGCGGCAGTCTGCAGGCAACTCTGCAAGTGTGCTTGAGGGCCCCACTTCCCCCAGCCAAGCAGGGAAAGAGGACCTTTGAGTCCCCAGAACAGCCCCTACCCTGGTGAACACCCAGAGCACCAACCCAAGACAGAATGTCTGGGTCTCAGTCCTGGCTGGGCAGCTTTAAGGCAGAGCTTGCCCTCTCTGGGCCTCGGTGGCCTCATCTACAGAAGAGGACAGTGGTTCCTGTCCAATCAGCCTCTTAGCAATACCATGGGGAGGGGGGGCGACACCTCAGAAGGGAGAGTCCCCTGAAGTCAGAAGCTGCCAGCAGCCCACCCACCCTCATGGGGAAGGTGTAAATCCTTATCCCATCTGTCCCCCTCCCCACTCACAGGCCTCTACAATCTGGCCCCAGCCTATCTCCCCAGGCTCACCTCCTCTGTCTGCCATGCCTGAACCTGCTGCTCCAACCAGACTGGCAGATGCCCCTGGCATCCCCACTTCCCACCTTTGCACACACTCTGCCCCCAACTTACACTGCCCTCCCCTACTCTCTGCCATAGGGTTCCTGTTACTATTGTGCTGCCCTGGGGGCAATTCTGGGCCCACTTCCCAAGGTAGGAGGGTGTGCATGCTGGTGTGACCCAGCCAGACTGACCCTGTTCCTGGTCTGAGTCACCCCCAGGCCCTTGCATATGCTTAGAAGGGCATCTCTCCTGGTTTAGACCCCAGCTGAGTGGTCACCTCTCCTGGTCCCCAGGCTGGGCTGGTGTCCCTGCAATGAGCTGCCACAGCCCCGTCCTCCCTCCATCACAGCACTTACTACACTACTCACGGCTCTGCCACCCCTGTAAGCCAGGAGGGGCCCGAGTGCAGGGCCCAGGATGGGTGCCCTGCATCCTCCAATCCAGCCCAGGGCCTGGCACAGATCGGCCCCTCCAAGGACAGCAGCTTGCACGAATGAAGGCGTGATGGGTGAGTGGATGGATTCATCACACAAATATTTAGTGAGGACCTACTACATGCTAGGCACTGTTCTAGGCTCGAGGGATATACCAGTTTAAAAAAAAACAACAAAATAAAACAAAGCCCCCTGCCCTCATGAAGCAGACCTTCCTGTACTAGGGGAAGACAGGTGGAAAACAACAAACATAAATGAGTACATTTCCTTTTTTGTTGGCTGCGAAGTGTTATAAAAACAAAAAGTGGAATAGGGGAGGGGTGTGGAGTGCCAGGTTGGGACAGGAGTCAGGTGGGTGTAAAATGGGGTCCAGAAAAGGCATCACTGATGACACAGAGCAGGGACTCGAAGGAGGTGAGGCTGTGTGCACATCTGGGAAAGAGGCCCAGAGCTGGGAGTGAGCCAGGCACTCACGGAATACTGTGGCTGGAGGGAAGCGAGCGAGGGAGACTGGAAACCCTGCAGGTCAGCGTGAGGACTCTGGCTTCCATTCCCCAGTGTCATGGGCAAAAGAGAGACGTGGCCTGAGGGATCACCCCAGCTGCAGGGGTGAGTGCTGAGGGTGGGGTCCAGGAGAGATGTGGCCCCGCCCGGCCCCATGTGCTCCCTGCTGAGGTTGGCCAGGCCAGGTGCTGGCTTTCATCCATGACACTCCAGGGCGGAGTCTGGGCCTTCCATCCATCTGCTCCTCTTGGTCACGCCCTGCCTGGCCCAGCCATCGCTCTCCTACCATCATGATACATCTGGCTGCATCCAGATGACAAAGGCAGACAAGGTGGGGGATGCGGCTGTATTCTGGAGATATTTTCAAGGTCAAGATGATGGATGGGATGTGGCATATACGAAGAGAGGGTTTGGGACATCTCCAAGGTTTGGGGCCTGAAGCCAGAGGCCTGGAGTGGCCATCAGTGGAGATGGAGCTCCGTTTGGACATGTGGAGTTTGGGGTGCCTGGTGTATATCCATGTGAAGTCGTTTTGTAAGATCTTGGGGTCAGGGGGTCTGGAGGGAGGGGTGTGGCCTGGAGTATCATGCGGGTGGCACCAGGGTAGAGACAGTCTCTAGGTGGCATTTAAAGT